AAAACTACTTCCAAAAACATTCAGCTTTGATATTAATGAGTTTTTTGGGTTCATTGAGAACATGGTTGTTGTTCAATAATAAAATTATTCCTCACAAATACAACTTGCCTAATAATTCTGCACTCCCTGTAAATTAGCCAGCTGCTAGTACACTGGTACTGGCATACCAGTAGCTGATGGTTTCTACCACAAATCCAGCTCCCTGAGACTGTATGCTAAGCAAAAGAAAGGAGGACGAGGACTAGTGGGTGTCAGAACCACTGAGACAAACATCTATGAGTACATCAGCAAGATGGCCACAACTGACCGCACGCTTATTTATTTATCTCAGGCGGCAGAAACCGGAGAAAGAAACTGAGCAAGGAGAGGAACCATCGTGGAAGGACAGGCTGCTGTACGGTATGTACAGCGACCTGTCAGTTAGAAGAAGTGGCTGACATCCAGAAATACTACCAGATCCCGTGGGACTTCCAGATACAGACAGACAAACTGGTGATGACTAAGCAACCGCACATAGTAGTGATGGACAAGCAGAGGAAAGCAGTTGTAGTGATACATGTAGCTTCATCGATTGATAGCAACATCTGGAAAAAGGAACATGAGAAGCTTGAGAAATACCGAGGCCTGAGAAAAGAGCTCAAGAAGATGTGGAGGGTGACGTTAACAGTGGCAGTAATCGGAGCACTCGGTCCAGTGACTCCCAAGCTGGGTGAGCGGCTCCAGCAGATCCCAGGAACAACATCCAAGATCTTTGTCCATAAGAGCGCAGTCCAGACGTTCACCAACTTAAAACGTTTGGTACATAATGAAATCAAAGATACAGGACCAAGCTAAAATCCTATATCAGACAAGACTAGCACAACATCTCCCAAAAGTCAAGCTAGTCTTCTGGGAGTTCCCCACTCCCAGGAGTTTGATCCCAGAAGTTTGTTGTTCAAAGAAGAGGGGACAATACACAGTGGTAAACATGGCCCCCGTCCCAGCTTTTTTTGAGATGTGCTGCTGTCATGAAAATTTACAATTACATAATAATTTTTTTAAATCTAAAAAAAGTACTGTTCACGGTAAATATTTCTATTCCTGTTTCCACAAGTTACTTCCTTTACCTTAGTTATCTCTGTGCCTTCCTCTTTTTTTCTCATTGTTGTGTTACTGTGTGTTACCTTGGCACACATTTTTTAAGGACCACACCTTCATTTACTTTTTTCACCTCCATATGGGACAGCAGTTACACTACTAATCCTTTCCTATCCTCGGTTAACAACTACGTTTGAAAGTTAATTATTAGCATCTTTTCTTATTTTTCCTGTTGCGAGTAATTCACCTTTGTTCCTCATGTTCATTCACTCTTTTGAAAGTTAAAAAAACCAACATATAATCAGTGAAACATAATTTGATGGCTCTATTTTTTCATACATTCTCACTGCATACTACCCTAAACCTTCACCTCTGAACCTTGTGGTTAAAAGAATACTGCAAATAATATCGCAGCTTGTTCCACATTTGGTCATGTTACAGCCTTATTCCAAAATGGATTCAATTCATTTTTAACCTCAAAAATTTGCACACAACACCCCATAATGAAAAAGTGGAAAAGGTTTGTTTGAAATTTTTAAATGCATAAAAAACAACAAAATATACCATATATAAATATTCACAGTAGTTGCTCAATACTTAACTATTATAGCATTAAGTCTTTTTGAGTATGAAGCTACACGCTTGGCCACACCTATTTTTGGGCAGGTTCTCACATTGTTCTTTGCAGAACCTCTCAGGCTCAGGTTGGATGGGGAGTGTCAGCGCACAGAGTCTGGGCTCTCGCTGGGGCAGTCAAGGACCTGAAGCCACTCCTTTGTTATCTTGGCTGTGTGCTTAGGGTTGTTGTCCTGTTGGAAGATGAACCTTTAAGGTTTTGCTTGGGTTCTTGGCCACCTCACTAATGCCCTTCTACCTTAAGTACTCAGATTGGCCAGTATCCAGCTCTAGGAAGAGTCCTGTTGAATCCAAATTTCTCCCGTTTATGGATGATGGAGGACACTGTGCTCACTGGGACCTTCAATGCTGCAGAAATTTTTTGTACCTCTTTCCAGATCTGTGCCTCGAAACAATCCTGTTTCTGAAGTCTGCAGACAATTCCTTGGACTTCATGTCTTGGTTTTTGCTCTGACATGTGTTGTTGGACTTTAAATAGACTGGTGTGTATCTCATGAAATCATGTGCAGACAACTGAATATACCACAGGTGGAGTCCAATCAAATTGTAGGAACATCTGACATGTAAATTACGTTCGATATGGTTTCTTGGCATTTTTTTCCCCCAAGATCAACTTTGACCTTGGCACTAACAGTGAAGGTCAAAGTCAAATGCTTAGCCATCGTAAGTACGCATGTCCCCCAAGGCCTCATGTGTCATTGTCAAGTTTGAAGACGACTCATTAAAAAAAGTAAGTTTTTACCGATTCTCGAATTTGGGTTAGGACCGACCTTTACCCGATTCTCACCAAAATTATATCAGCTCAAACTGTTACTGGTGTCTACCGTCACCCAAAATATGGCTGTAAATAAAATAAGGTTGTAATGTGACAACATGTGGAACAAGTAAAGAACTGAAATGTACCACAGGTAGCACTGGTTCAGAGTCATAGTTAAACGTTTACCAAGACTTCTTATTTTTAATATCATCCCATTTTTAGTATTATTTTTTTCTTCCAATTATCCACAAATTATTCTCCAAACTCAAGCAGCTGCTATCTGGTTCACTCATTAAAATAAATAAATAAATCAGTAAGTATGAAAGCATTCCCACATCCCACCATTTAGAAATACTTACAAACGTGTCTTTGCTCTAACTCACTCTATTTAAATTAAACCTTGGGTTATCATTAAATGTAATGGCTGTGTGTACTTATTGTTCTTCGAGGGATCAGGTGGGATTCAAACTGGTAACACTTGGATTGGGGGCTTTTTGCAGACCACGTCCATCCCTTTATGTATTCATTCAAGCAAAGGCGTCTGTTTTTACTCCGCATTTGTTCCTGCCCGTTTTTTGGACTTTTACCTGTCAGACACTGAAGGTGCAAAGGTCAACAACACTTTGTAGATAAAGAAAGTGAAGCTTTTATTAGATCTTTACCTCTTTGAAAACCAGCACAACTCCAGTAAGACATGGCAAAGCAACACGTGCTGTAACCTTTCAGTTGACAAAGATCAGGTGGTCGAGAGATTTTATTAACAGTTTATAGTCCAGATGATATGTACTTTGTTTATCCCAAAAATTAAGAAATCTGCTCCACAAAACTACAATGGCAGTGACATTATCATCTGTATTTATCTGTTCTAAAAATAAATAAATAAATAAACATGCCAGATCAGAAAAGCTGACATAACCAGAGAACAAACTATCATTCAGCAAACGACTGTATAGAAAAATACGGTCTCCAAATGCTTCATGTCAGTGAACATGTTAATGAAAAGAAGTTTTACAAATACTTGAGGTATAAGTGAACAATGTTACCTTTAATGTACAGACCCTTCAGTCAACATTCACTGTGTTAAACAGAAACGACCTGCACTGTAGGCAGGATGTGAAAATGGGCTCTACATACGGTTCAACTCAAGAAAACCGACTCACAGCTTTTGATACTTTGGTGTCGGTATGTTTTCTGAAACATACATCTTTAGACCATTTGTAAGCACATCGATATGAGAAACTTTTTCTATTGATTGGCTGATTAAGTTGAAGTGTTAAAACAGAAGCTTTTGATGAGCATGGATCTACAGGACCTTTGTGCACTTTAATATTAATCCATGCATGTGGGATTACCTGGGACTAAATAAGTGATTCCATGATCTGCATCAGCCCTGAGGATGCCGTCAAAGATTTCATGATTAGTCTTGTTTTGGCTGGTCAAGCTGGATCTGTATTAATGTGCAGTATTTTGCATATAGAGTCACCAGCAGTACCAACAGGGACTTTAGTCCACTTTCTCTGTGATCCGTCCCATTTTGGTGCGCATGTTACGTACAAGGAAGAATCCGATGGTGGTGACGCCCATTATCACCTCAGCTAACCAGAACGCCACGTCCCAGCTGTGCTGCTTGGCAATAGTGCTGAAGGGCAGCCCTGCCATGAAAGCTCCCACTGCAACACAAAGAAAGCTTGTGTGTTCATATCAAAGGGTTAAAACCTGAAACATGACAATAATTTTACTGCAGCTCACCGTTAGCCATTAGAGCTACAACAGCATGAGATGTTCCACAGAAGTTTGAAGGAGCACTTTCACTGGCTATCACCCCGAACAGGGCGACTGGTCCATAAGAAGAAAATCCAAACATGGCACCAAGCAAGAGGATCCAAATCTGTGAATGAGAGAAAACATACATAAAATAAAAGCCTTCTGGAGGAAAAATAATTTTCTAGGGTGTCCACAGGTACAGCTACTGAAACTGGGACATTTTTAAACCTTTAGGTGAATCTTAAAGTTCATTTGAAGCTCAAAAGAGAATGAACTCTTTTAAAGTGAACGGGTAAAAAGGTAAAAAGACATATTTTGGTTGAGTTTGTCCAAATGCTGATTTTCCCAAATGAAATCCCAAATGTTGCAAGCTTGAAAAATTATTTTATGCAACACAGTTTGCTTCAGAAGCAGTTTCTTTTAAAGGTACAGGTGTTAAACACCAACAACATTTGCCATTAAACTTCTATTGTCCCAGTTCCACAGACTAATAAATGCCTTTTTCTTCATCAGCTTCAGGGTTTCCATCACTGCAAGCTGAACGGGTAACTGGGCCCTAACTGGCCCCCTGCTGGGCCGGAGTGTAACCCACATCTCTTCCCAGAAATAGTCAGTGGATGACACTGTAACACTGGGTAGTGTGTCTGAGTCTGCTGTAGAGAACAATATAGAGCCGCTATGCTCGCTGTTCAGAACAACTCACCAGCTAGCCTTTTGATAAGTAGCTACATTGTTTTTATTCACATGGAATGATTCTTTCCGGAGCATACCTCTTTCTCTGACACACCAATGAGGACGGATACAGGATGAATGACTTGGACCCAAAGTGGAGGCTCCTGAACAAAGACATTTACTCTTAGAGTTTTTTGAGGACTGAAAGGTATACATTTCACGTGGATTACAAAATGATGAATTACCTTTGGGATTTCAGGTGTGATGGTCACTCTGAAGAGGTACATTGACACATACATGCCAGCCATCATGACAATAAGCAGGCCATGGCGAGGGTTGCCATGGGTGCCCAAGCCTTTCTAGAAAAAGGCAAAGAAAGGAGCAAAACACTAAAATCAACACCCTTCATACTGAAACATGTGATGTATCAAAACCAGGTTTAAGTCTAAAACCTAAATAAATAATAATAATTAAAAAAAAAAAAAGTCAGACTTCAACCTTGGAAAATTCGAGCAGTATGTTAATTTGAAAGCAACCCTAACCCTGCTTATTCTCTCACTCATAAAATCAAACTGTGGTGAAAATGTAGCCACAAATGCACAGGAGGACTCAACATCACTGAACAGGCCAGTCGCAATAGTTGCGAGCCGCATTGACACGCAGTGCAGTTACATTTCTATGGAGGTGCACGTCAGGTTACGGTGTTGGGCTTTGCAGTTATTGTGTAAATATCCTGCTACATCCCTGGTAACTTGATGTGCACCTTCCAGAAATGTCACCAGCTGTGTCTGTGTCGACACAGTGCTTTCAGTGCTCAAGTAAAGAACCAGTCCATTTAACTATTGGATTGGCCTGTGCATCCTGAACTCTACAAAGATTCATAGCAGTAGGTTAAAGAGGGCCTTAGATGAAATGTAACCATAGGTAAGTTACATTCTAAGGTTTCAGAGGGGTTTGCTGTTACAATGTAGCTACAGTCCGACTGTGTGGCTGTGCTGAGTGGGGACTCCCACTCACAGCCCAGAGGCTTGCTGGAGAAGGATTTTGGGGGAAATAGTGTGCAGTGTATTTATAGTTTAGGCATCAGAAACTCCGTAATAAACTACATTTTTTCTATATTTGCTATATTTGCTAACTGTTAATTCATACTTGGCTAACAATTTAATTGCTAGCCATATGTTTAGCAAAATATTTACTACTTTTATTCACAGTTTGGCAATAATAAGATTTCAAGTGTCTATCCATTTCTGTTAGCTTTCGAAGAATTTGTTTTTTAATGAATTTCAAATACCAGTGATACCTTAAGCAGAGAATTCCAACTATTTCTTTGTTAATATTACATAACTTATGGTTATTTCCGTTACTTTTAGTAGAGCTTTTTGCTTAAACTTTTTAAAGGCTCATTCAAGCCTTTAATTATTTGAAATAGTTGAGCTAACTAATCCACTTAACCAATCGCTACTCGTATGCTTGTTCAAGAATCCCTTTAACTGACCCAAGTTGTTTTAATTCAACTCATACCGGTTACTCACCCGAGCCACAGCTCTGTCTGAAATGAAGCCTGACGTAAGGCTGCCCACAAAGCCTCCAACCTCCAAGGCACTCATGTAGGTACTGCCTGTTAGCAACAGAGCTTCCGTCATCACCCACAACCAGTCAGATGACGTGAAAACTATGTGGGAAGCAACAATGAACACACGCACCCATGAGAGCAGTCTGGCCTTTCTCCTGCATGAGGAACAGCTGTCCCCAGTCGGTGGCAGCCGTCTTCACTCCAAACACCACCAAGTAACCCAGAGACAGCACCCACAGGAAAGGAGACAGGAGGAATTCACTCAGGGTGCTTTCACTGCTTCCTGGTGAGCACAGACACAAAAAGAGCTCATGAATACTTAACAGTCCAAATAATGTAAAGAATGAAGTTTTTTCAATTATTCTACAAAGCATGCCTGTCACATGGTATGGTCATAAAGGGATGGACATATTCAGCAACTGTGGCATTTAAACAATGATCAGTTGGTGCTAACATACAAAGTGTGTCAAGAAAGGGACCTCCAGACTGCTCATCCAAAGCAGGATGAAGCCAAGCTTTCATGACGTTTACACCAAATTCTGACCTTACATCTGAATGTCACAACAGAAACGGAGAGTTTTTCAATTTCTGATGACAAGTCACATGTTCGACATAACTTGGTTGTAACGAGTGGTTGAGTTACTGAAGCGTTCCTATTGGATCAGTCTGAGCATTCTCCTTTGAATTCCCACATCTATCCAGAGAACTGCCGCTCACTGGATATTTTCTCTTCTTCGTACCATTCTGTGAGGATTGTGCAGAAAGATCCCAGCAGTTCAGCGGTTTCTGAAAATACTCAGACCAACTCGTCTCGGACCAACAACTGTGCCATGTTTAAAGTCAATTAAACCACCTCTTTCCCATTCTGATGCTCAATTTCAACCTTTAGCAGGTGCCCCTGACTACTGTGATGGCCTCAACCACATGTTGATAACAATCAGTCCAGACACTCACCTCATTAGTTTGTTTTGTGTTTAAACATTTATTTCAGGAATGTCATTCATTCATTTATTTACTTAAACCCAACAGTGACGTTATGAAGCGTGCACATAATAGCACTGTGTGATTCTGTTATATTAATTATGTTTCTCTTTCTTTTGAGTTTTCTCTTTGGGCAAAAGGCGTGGCCAAGGGCCGAGGACTATGAAAGCCAACCACACCCTCTACAAACAAGGTGGGTGTTTTAGGTTTGGTTAAGTTAATTTGTGCTTAGATAGTCTTGATGTTTAATTCGGTTTCCTCTATTGTGTCTAAATGATTTGGCCAAACCACTATAAAAAGTTACCCGCCTGTGTCTTTGCGTTTAAGTCAGTCTGAGAGTTAATTCTGTATATTTTGTTTGCTTAATTACTTTTATGTCACTTTTTGAGCAGAGTTGTATTTAGTTGACCTCTTTTATGGGCCCATTAATTATATTTTGAACTTTGGCGTGAAATAAAAACCCACCATGAAGGCATATTTCCTGTGTCCTCTATGCCTTTACTGCTTGATCCCTCAAAAATACATACCTAAATGCAGTGAGCTGCTGTCATGTGACCGGCTGATTAGATATTTATTTTAACTAGCAATTGAACAGGTGTACCTAACAAAGTGGCTGGTGAGTATAAGCGTACCAGCAAGTGAGAGTAACATCTACAGTACAAAGTTTACAGACAGTGAGAAAGAGAAAAATATTTTTACAGTAATAGCTACTGCAGCAAAAAGAGCTAATGGGCACAGTTGTGAGTGAAATGTTAGCATTCAGCTGTACACTGTGTTCATCGCCTGCAGAGGATCAAAGTTCTGCTGGTGTAAACTTCTGATGCCTCACTTGGATATAAGTTGACCCAAACCAGAAAGCTAGTGAGCAGCTATGAGCCAAGCTCAGAACACTAAGCATCCGCCAGAGGTCTCTGTACTACAGAGCTGCAGATCTGGCAAAAAAATCTGCCATTATGACACTTATGTGCACATGAAAAAAATATGCTTTCGATATGGGTTGCAAATGTGTACGATATCCACAAGTAATGATTTGTCCACGTCTGTTTCACACTGGGACTTGAACCCAGCTTACCTTTGTGAATCTTTGCAATGCCGGCAGCATTAAACGTGCCTCGAAACTCCACGTGGGCACGCGACGTGATCGGTTTGTCCACACATATTTAAGGTTTGGTGAGCAAGCGAGAGGGAGGTTTCATGTAGTTCTACTCATTTGTACACACAGAAAGGTTTTTGAAAGTGTAAATTATCGGATTCAGAGCTGAACTTAATAAATGATCAGTATTTATTCTGGTTTGGATGTATGCGTTTGTATAATAGTTTCACGTGTGGTCAGGCTGCTTCGTATTTGTGTGTGGATTGAAGCATGTACTATGAGTCCTATAAGTTACACACAAATCATTGTACACAAGCTTAGTTTATGCTTGTAGATCATACTGTATGCATTTGTAACTCTATTGAGACGTGTTTTCCCATATTTTGGGAGTCCTGTCCATCTTTGGCTCCACATACCAATGCAAGCAGGTTTTTGCTCTAGTTGTCCAATATAGTTCACCTTCATGAGCATCAAAGAAATTCACTGTAGGAATTCTGACAGGGATTCATCCATCATCCACTGGTTCAAGATAATAATGTCACTACTTAAAAAAAGAGGAAAATTAGCTTACAAGTGAGTTGTTTGCATCCCTGAACACGTCCCCGTGTGACTGACATGATGATCGTTTAAAGCTACACAGGAAGTGACCTTTCCGTTCTTGGTTCTCTCACCTCCTTTCGCTCCCTTCTTGGCTGCTGCCTCCATGCTGGGCAGGCCCACATCCTTTGGCTCATTCTTTACAAACACTAGACAAACAAATGAGAAGGCAGCACAGAAAATGCCCGACATGGTCAGGATGGTCCTCCAGTCGTAGTAATGCAGCAGCACTGAGACCAAGATTGGACCCAGACTCCCAGCCAGGTTCATGCTGCAGGACAGGACAGACCACCATGTTCCAAACTGGGAAGGCTCATACCACTGACGGAGAACAGACACAAAGAGTCAAATATTAAAGCCTATTTAAGCACAACTTGAAACCACATATTGCTCATATTAGCTACTTTCCATTTGCTGAGGCAACCCACAAGTTATGGAACTAAATTTGTCACTGAGCGCAGTTTATCTTATAAGATTATATGTGAGCTGTGCAGAGAGATTATTGCAAATCTAATAATCAACAGAATTGTAGCACAATGACAGCACAGACAAAAAGTGTAATCTGTTTTTGACATCAGAGCCACACGCCCTCAAGACGTAATCGACCTAAAGGCGACCATAAATAGTCCTCACACCGTACCCCTGAAAGATTGTCCTGTAACTTCAGAATCCACTGGGCAAATATTTAAAGTTGATTTAAATCTTTTTCTTCTCCATCGCGTGTGAATGTAAACTCAAGTATGGAACACACTTGGAGGGATGAAACGTGTTTGCTCTGACTGGGGATGGGAAACTCTTCTGAACAATGTTACTATTCTTCAGAAACATCTCCTGAGGATCTTCCATAAATACATTGACCTGTAATCTGATCCCCTGCCACATGCTGAACATATGCCAAAGCCTATTTATTGCCCAGCTGTTCCTAACCGCTACGTTTAAGAGAGCTTCTTACTTTAAGATACCTTCCAACGTATCTCAGAGTCTAATGGATTAGGATTTGCTCGAACATATGACTGTAGGACTGTAGTCCTACCAAAGGTGAGTCCTATATATGTCAAGGAATCCAATTACAGCAAATAAAATAGGAAATATACATGTTTAATGCACCGGAGTAAAGAATCCAAACACACAACATACAGGTAGTCCTCCCCTGTAAGTGATGTCTTTTCACTAGTTGCGAAAGCATTACAAGCATCATGGGCACCCTGCGTGCTGACAGCATTACACTTATACTGGTGCATGAGGTGGCAGACAGGATGATATTACCTTGCGGAGCACTTTCCCACATGGGGGCCAGCCACAGCCTTGTCCCAGGCCGTTGATGAACCACAGCAGAGAGAACATGGATACAGTAGAGGACCAGGAGAAGACCACATTGATGCCCCCTACCAGGAAAAGGCCAATGGAGAAAAGCCAGCGGGCGCTGATCTTATCTGACAGCACGCCGCTGATGAACTTACTGATGGCATAGGCCATAGTCTGGCTGCTGGTGATCAGACCTGCAGAGACACCGTGAAGATTGCTATTTCAGTATGATGCAAACTGTCTACTGAAGAAGATTTGGGTTGCTACAAAGTATACACATTAATAACTCAGTATCACAACATTTTACTTTTTTCTTTACCTGTGTGACTGAGCGATTAGCTTGCTCTGAATTAGGAGCTAGCTTTGTAAAGCTGACGTTTTGGTTGAGCCGACTTAATTTCAGTTTTCTTGTGTAACGTTATCTCGGGATGGTGATGAGATGAGCCCCCTTGTTCATAGCATTCCCTGACATTTGGTGCTCCTGTATTGAAATGCAAAATATCGCTATGCTACGTTTTATCAATTTTTTCCCCAACCATAATCTATAGTCACAAATTGATGAGCTTTTGAGTGGATTTACAGAAGGAAAAACATCCTTCCCACTTTGAAATTACTCATGCAATATCCACAGCCCAGAGGCCTCGAGTGAGGAGCAGGATTTTGTCTTATCCAGGTAACTGTGTGTGGAGTCTCAGAAGTGTAACATGACCTGTTCTTATCAGGTGAACTAATTCATCATTTGTATAAACAAATAAACAAAAAGCATGTCCAATGTGCTTTTTCAACAGGAAACATGAACGTGTGTAAAGCTGTTTCTAAATTCTTCATGTCATGGGTTGGACCAGCCCTTTGTGAACACCACAAAATAAGCACAAATTGATGGACATGTTTATAAATGTTATCTTTTTGGGACCATTTTTAAACCAAAACTCTCCCCAGTGGAAATTTTGAGGTCAAATCAGTGCAAGTGACATAATAAGCACTCTGGTGGGTGTAGCAGCAATCAAACAAACACTTCACATAGCAACGCTTGTGCAACTGCTTGATTAAAGGCTTAAATGCTTGCTAAAGAAGCTTTTCCTTACACTCAACAGCCTAAAAAATAAAAACATCCCGTTATTGTTTCCATCTTACCCAGATCATCTTTGTCCAGTTCTATCTCCTCCATCACAGAGGGCATGACAAATGAGAAGGTCTTTCTGTTAAAGAAATAGAGCGAGTAGCCGATGAACATGCAAATGAAGATGACTAAACGATAGTAGCCGTAGCCTGTAGCCCCCATGATTACAGTCAATGCAAATAATTATAATAATAATATTTTTTCTTCAGTGGAGTCTTGTTTCTGGGCCCTCTGGAATCAGCTAGATGCTGACACTACTGGTAAAGGGTTGTTTGCAGCAGGAGGTCTAAAATAAGATGTAGCATGGGATAAAATATTCTCCATGAGGTGACGCTCTGCAGCAGGCTCCGTGCTGGCTGGTAGCTTTGCCTATCTGTGAGGCTGCTGCTTGGGGACACCGGGACGGAGGACAGGAACTTTAAGGCAGCCTGAAAAATGAGAGCAAGAAAACACATTATTTTAGACAGAAGCAGCTTCATCAGGTCCTCCAATTTATTACATCAAGCTGGAATGGCACAGACTGACTATCTGCAGTTTCTTTTCTTCAGGTCAAAAAAATTGCCACGGTGCTGACCAGGTCAGGTGCAGGAGCTACAGCCCAGCTTGCTCAGTTTCACTGCTCTAGCATGCTGCCCTATAAATGTCAGAGTTGAAGGCTCCAGTTAGCAACCCTCAAACTATCAGATGTCAGAAAACCTGCAAGACTAGTCAGCTTGTAGCACACGGTACGATACGAAAAGCTTAATTGTCAAATACTTAGAATTCCACCATAAGCTCTGTGGTTTTACACTTTAATGGCATTCTGTACGTGTCCATTTAAACTCACTAAACCCTGGCTGCTGACGCCTAAAGCGTCTTAAACAACCGAACAAGTCGCTAATAGCAGTTGAATTATTCAAATGGCAGCGGTCTTGCTAACAAACATCGGCGAACTGATTTGTGGGACTTTCCGTGTCTGTCAACGCTCCCCGGGCTCCTTTAACCAAACCCCGACGTAAAGCGAGCTATAACCCCCGTCAGTGCCGCGGGGCACAGCAACCTAGCGGCTCGCTGAAGCGCTGAATGGAGAAATGCCGGCAGAGCCCGTTACCTTTCATTCGTGTCCCTCGTCCGTGCTGAAACACGGTGCGCGTTCGTGAATCTGCAGTCCCGGGAGCGCGGCTGCGCGACATACATGGAGTGGGCACAGCCACGACACACAAAGACACACAGCGTGGCAGGTTATCAGTTACTATGCTGCACTGCCAGTCACTAAAACAGACAATATCAAGTATTCGCACTTAGGTAGAGGTCGGTTTTCATGCCGCCAAACTCCAGTGAAAAATATATGAATTTAAGCTTGTGATGCCTCGCAAAACAACTAGCCCCATATTACTGTTGAGCTGGCATATCTTAGGAATCACTCGGGCCTGCAGAATAATACGGCACAGCCAACCTTCTATTATTACACGAAGACATCAATATTTAGCTCGCATTGCTCACTACCGCCCTCCTCTGCAAACTGGTGTGAAGAGCAACTGAAAGAGGGGGTCTAGAGAAATTCCTCAGATCCCCACAGAATCTTTATTACATATAAAAGTCTCACATTCACTAGTTAAAGTACACATTCTGCATTAAAATATTTGTTTTTGACAGTAAAAATAACCTTATATGGAGAAAACAAAGAGTACTGACAGAAACATGACAAGGCCAAAATACACAGTGCTGCTGGCATTTAGACATGTAAAGATGACCTGCTAAAGTTCAAAAGGCACATCAGAATAAGAAGGAAAGATGAGATAAAAGACTTTGAACGTGCCATTGTTACTTTTGCCAAGCATGCTAGGGTGAGTATTTCATAAACTGCTGATCTGATAGGATTACAGTGAATGGCTATATATATCCTTGTCGATATTTGAAGTCAGAGGAGAATGGCCAGACAGCTTCAAGCTGAGAGTACAACCAATACAACCATACCTTTGTTACAACCAAGGTGAGGCGAAGAGCATCTCCGAATCACTGCTCCGAATCTAGTTTTCAGTCCTTCATTCGTCCTCATATGACGACTGAAGGTTTGCAAAATCGCTCATGTCAAGTAGTCAAAATAGCAAAATGATATCTAAGTGTGATTTCAGTGTTTGTAAAAACATGAACTTCTGCAAAATAATTTTCTCCTTTATGTGCTTTGATTGCAACTTTATGAATGGATGGCCAACATGCTCATGAATCAGAATGTCAGCCAGTTTGTTCAGGTGCAGCAGGAGGGGCGGAGTCAGAGAGAAAGTCAGAGTTTGTTGAAGAAAACCTGACAGTGAGGCTTAGTTCACAGTCTGTAACTGACTCGGAGTTGAAGTGAACTCTCTTACTTAACAGAAAACCTGGAGCTTTCCCTCTGCTCGCCACTCTGTTCTTCACTCACTGTTCTGTGTGAGGTTACAGACACTCACTGATCGTTTGTATAATCACAGCTGAAGCTTCGTTATCAACAACATGCCATTAACATTATTTTTTCTCCATTGGGGGGAATCTTTTCCTGTACACACTGCTGGGTTGACACAGGAAGGAAATATCAACAGGATATTGTTTCAAAGATTTCTGAATGTGCCCTCGTCAGGCAGTACTCTCTCACGATGCAATTCACGTAGAGAACGAAGGAGCCTCTAACAGTGGGGGGGGGGGAAATGAGTGTAATTATAGATAGTCCTGGAGCTGTTTCACTATTATCAAAGAAAGTATAAAAAAGCGCTGAGGATTAAATGGCAGTGACAGCCACAGATGTTCTGTGCCAGTATTTTTTTAGCTTATGAAGTGGAGCGTAAAGATTTCCCTTATGCAAAGTTTTTACTACAAAACACCGATAACATGTGGAACAATAGATGGTGTGCTGACAAAACACTTTTTTGTGATTTACATTTTATTAATTTTATATATAAATGTTTGTGTTGTGCTTGCACATATGCAGGTAGTTATAGAATAGAACAGAATAGAATAGGCTTTTACTGTCATTGTCTATGTACAGCAAAATTGTGGATAAATTATTATAAACTGCTCCAAGTGAGCTGTATGCAGGTGAAGGTGGTTGTCTATTTGGTGATTAATGTGTCCTATACTGCACTGCAGTAAAAAGACACGCAGCATTGTTGTGATTCATTTCATTTCATAGCAAAGCTGGAGATGAGAGTGAGTTTCAACTAAAGCACTGTTACTGAGTCAGTGATATTGGATTGTTATTAACGCTGATGAAAGATTTTTGATAAGGTGGACGACACTTAACCTGTGTCAAAGTTCTGCCAAGAGCGTCCTCTACAGTTTTACCTTATGGATGTGGGGTAGTTGCTGTGGTTCAGGTTAAGTCCCATAGTAGTGCATTTCAACTGTCACAGACACACGATATACAGTAGAGTAATGCATGCACAATACTGAAATCCTGGAATTATAGTCCTGAAAAATATTCCAGAAATTAGTGTCAAAATGAACAAAATCTAACCCAATTTCCCTTCATTTATCTTCAAAATGACACTTATGGTCTATTATAATGACAATTTCATTCTTATCCCTTGTTTTTGATGATAATGATGGGGACGATGATGTTTCTAATACAGAGATTAATACTAAAATAAGATCACTATCATTGTGTAAGCCATTCAGTTATCAATGTTGGAGACGCTGTATATGGGGCGACACACAAAATGTTCTGGAGGCAGAAAGTGAATCATGCATTTCATTAGCAACGTCAAACACAGGCCTAAACATTATGAACAATTAATGTTTAACAACGTGAACTACCCTACACAAGCATCTTTGATTGGGTGCTCATTTGCTCTCGCCTCAGGCCTCTGTGAGTGATTAATCCTTGAGCAGAGTGAGAAAAGAAATAATCTATGTAATGGCAAAAACAGGGAAAAGGAAACCTATTTTCCTGGATTACCTCAGTTTATCAGCCTGAAGTAACAATTTCCTCTAAATCACAACCTCAGTGTCTTTCGGTATGAAAAGACTGCTTCTTTCTAATTTGGTACTCTTAAATATATTTCTAATATATTGTAAAATAGTGGATTCTGATCTTTACTTTGAGCTCTTTTTATAGTCTAGTCAATCAGTCAAGCTCTAGTTATACAGTTTTTTTCATACAAATCAAATGCAATTCGAAAATTCTGGGAAACTCAGGTGTAAAAAAATACACACATCAAAAATGACAGAACTCACTTAAGAAGAAGACACCAACTGAGGTAATCAAAAATAATAAAGAAGGAAAAACAGCAACAAAAATAAATCATAGTGACAAAGACATGGCCCATCTGAGTGTATTATAAAGCACATTACACACAATATTATATGAACATTTATGAGCCGACAAGTCTGTTGATGTCCAGTGATTCCTTTTGTCAGTGGTACAAAATAAGTTGACCTATTATTATGAGTTTGATTCATTTATTTTTTGACAAATTGCATGAATTTGTAGTTTAATATTGTGTTCCTGTTTTGAGATTTCAAACCAGACAAATGAGCAATTGGAAAAGAAGACTAAAGACAAAAGAAGCACCATCAGTGCTTCAGCACACTTCCTGCCAAAAGATGGAGCTAAAGTAACGTGTTCATTGTTGCCGATGTACTAGACTGCAGTCATTATACAGTCTGCCTCAGAGAGAGGTAAAAGCTGTTTTGTGTCTTCTAGAGACAGATGCTGTTGTATTAAACATGTCTCTGTTCTCTTTCCTTGAAATGCAACCTCTTAAGCAGTTATACTGGCAAAAGTGAGGGTTTGCTGTGTTAGGACACTGAAGACATTTTAGAGCGTCTCGTTACCGCTCAGCTGATGTTCATAAGCCAGCTTTTATGTTTGCAGAGAACAGCAACATGCAATACATGATACATACATGATCCTTTTTCATTCTTTTTTTCTCGCAGAAAAAATGTATTTAATGCAAAAAATCTTCAGAGTGCCACATAGTGTGGTCTTCTGCTGCTGTAGCCCTGTAGTAGCTTTACTGTTTATTTGTGTTGTCAAAGCAGTAGAGTCCCATCATTGCAAGCAAGGCAAACAGTGCTTATCTAATGAAATCTAAAAATAGACATCAGTTACAACATACCAAAGTGAAATGGATCTTTCTCCTTTCATCTCAGTGTTCTGCGAAGCTTCTCAAAAGCCTGTTAGTGTCCACAACAACACTCAGGAACAGGACAGCAAGAGAGTGTCAGTTTGTTTTAATGTGGTCCAACTGGTCTGGTTGAATGAATTTGTTTGTTTGTTTGTTTTTGCTTGCCTTTTGCATTGCCCCTAGGGACATCATTTAGCCCTTGACTCTGGATTTACTACTGCTGACACCTGTCACCACTGTCAGCCATACGAAATGGTCTGAGATCATCAATAAAACCAAAAGGCATCAGTAGATGTGTGACTTCAAATAATTGATTTGGCTGTTATGATATTCTGATATATAATATATATGCAAAGTATAAGAGTGGAATAAGAGTCTCTCAAAGCTGGTTATCATTTGGCTCTGACTGTCCGAGTGATGGCAGAGGGCATCCTTTTATAAAATGATATTTTGATTGGGCATTTCTTTCCTTCCTAATTCATGTTTCTTTGAGTCCATGATCAGTTGTTTCTGGACAACGGCGCATTAGCCAGGGTGATTAAAAAAGCAACAACAACAACAATAATAATAATAATGGATTGCATTTATATAGCGCTTTTCGGGACCCCTCAAAGCGCTTTACAATGCCACTATTCATTCACTCTCACATTCATACACTGGTGAAGGCAGCTACAGTTGTAGCTACAGCTGCCCTGGGGCAGACTGACAACAACAAATCAGTCTTCTTCATCAGCGTGCAAGCACTGAAATATCCTGAAGTGGGTTGCACCAACCTTGCAAATAAGTACACAGTAAGAACTGGGAAACAGCATGTGGCATAGACCAGTTACAGGTGTCAAGAAAAAGGTAATTGAAATC